CAAGGCCTTGTATTCCATCGGCTTGTCCCATTAGTTTTTCTTTATCTGGACCAGTGCCTGAGGCTTTGTTTGTTTCTCATAACATTGGCACTTTTGAAGAGTACAGGTCACTGATTGTGCAACTCGTCCCTCACTTTGGGTGTGTCGACTGATTCCGTGATCAGGTTCTGGTTGTGTGCTTGGGATCATCCGTCATAGCAAGGGAGTGATGATGTGTCTTTGTGCATCGATCTGGAGGCCCTGGCAGTTGATTGGTTCTGTTCCTGGAAATAGTAATTTGGTGATTGGTTAAGGTGATCCCTGCCAGGTCTCTCCACTGAAAAGTGACTTTTTTTTTACCTTGTAATTAATAAGGTTTTTGTGGGGAGAAAGTATGAAAGTGTTAGTCATTCAGTCGTGCCTGATTCTTTGCAACCCCTTGAACTGTAGCCCACCAGGCTCCTCTGTCCATGAGATTCTCCGGGCAAGAATGCTGAAGTGGGTGGATAGCCATGCCCCTCTCCAGGGGATCTTCCCAACCCAGGGATCTAACCGAGGTCTCTGGCATTACAGACAGATTCTTTACCAGCTGAGCCATCTGAGAAGACCCTGTGGAGAGAGACTTTGAGAAAATAATAGTCCCTATAATCTCGACCCTTCCACCCATTGGCTTTGGCATTCATTGATGGAAGGATGTTAATGCTGTTTAGTTGCTCAGTTGTGTCTGACTCTTTTATGATCCCATGGACTTTAGACCACCAGGCTCCTCTGTCCATGGGATTTTCCAGGCAAGAATACTGGAGTGGGTTGCCATTTCCTCCTCCAGAGGATCTTTCCAACCCAGGGATCAAACCCACATCTCCTGCTTAGCAGGCAGAGTCTTCACCACTGAGCCACCTGGGAAGCCCTTTCATTGACAGAGGGGCAGAGCTTGGGAACCTCTGCAGGCCGGTCCCAGCATGTGGCCCGGGGTCTGCTGCATAGCAGGTGGTCCCCAGGTGGTAAAAAGGGAGCCAGAGGCGACTGTGTCTTCTCTCCTGGCCATGAGTCATCACCAGTACCATGAAGGAGATCACTATCTTTAACTGTGATGTTTTATGATTAATCTTTCACTTATCCCATGGGATGTTAATTCCATTTAAAAATTCTTAATTTTATCTTTTATTTAAAGATTTTTTTGAGGTGGACCATTTTTCAAGTCTTTATTGAATTTGGTTTGTGTTTTGCTTTTTGGCCAAAGGGGCATGTGTGATCTCAGCTCCCCAACCAAGGGTTGAACCCACACCCCCTGTGTTGAAAGGCCAAGTCTTAACCACTAGAACATCAGGGAAGTCCCAGTAATTCCATTATACCATGCTTTCTTCAACATGGGAGGCTGGAGTTGTGTGTGTCGTGGAAAAACAAGAAACTAAGACGTTCTACAGCTCAATACACACCACAGGAAATGAAAGCTGGACTTAGTTTATTCATTCATTCATCCAATAAATATTTATTGCACAATTTCTGTATGTTAAGCCCTGCTACACCAGTATATAGTGGTAACAAGACAGGCATGGTTCCTGCCCATGGAGTGTGTCAACTTGTGATGCTAAGAAGTACCATTTTTCTCTGCTCTCGTCTAGCAGTTGGTGATAAGCAAGGGCAGGGTTCCAGAAACAACCCTCTCTTCCCTCCCAGACTATTTCTGGGAGCATCTCCCTGGAGAGTTGGGTAAAGCTGTACATGCAATGTATAAAAAGGAGCACTTATTAGAAAGAAGCCTATGCAATTCACAGCTGTCTTTAAGATTCATCCATAGTGTTATTCACCTAAACTTTCTACATACCTGTGCTGTGGAAAAACATGCTTCAAGTTGTTTTCAAAAGAACGAATCTGAATCCGATCAGGTATATTTTATTTCTCAAATCAGCCTGTAGAGTGAAAACCAAGATAAACTCTTGATGCTTTCTGATTCATAAGCAAAGTCAAGCCATTCACACAGGTGAACTTTCCAGAATAAAATTAGTAGGTCATGATAATGAGTTAAATGCAACAGTGCCGATGTGTACATTACAGTTTACGTGAGTAAACTAATGTCCTCCCATAAACATCTGATAGCAAATACAACTTTCCAAAACAAACAAAACAGTGAGGAAATGCAACTCTCCATAACGACCTTGCTTAGCCAGTATAGCCTGGCTATACTGATTAAGGGTTATATCCCCGATTGAACTCCGATAAGATAGTAGTAAGGCTTTTAGAATTTACAAACAGAATATCCCTGGAGAACTTCCTGTGAACAAATTAGCCTAGACTCAGTTGGACAAGAAACAGGATAAGAATTTTTCAAACTGCTTAGTGTTTATATCCTTGAATGTTTCTGATGGGTTTGACTTATAAACCTTCCCAACCTTCTATTGTAATTTTGTAGTAAGATGTGACTGTGAGCTCAATGCCAAGTATTCTCAAAATAACCTTTGTCAATGGCTTTACCTTATTATTAACTAAAGTCCAGAGTTTACTGTGCTTCACAGTCCACAGATTGCACAAATGTATAATGCAGTTACACATGTGTGTGTTAGTTGCTCAGTTCTGTCCGACTCTTTGCGACCCCATGGACTATAGCCCACCAGGCTCCACTGTCCATGGGATTCTCCAGGCAAGAACACTGGAGTGGGTTGCCATTCCCTTCTCCAGGGGATCTTCCTGACCCAGGGACCTAACCCGGGTCTCCTGCATGGCAGACAGAGTGTTTGCTGACTGAGCCACCAGCATAGAATAGTTTAAAATAGTCTAAAATTTCCCTGAGCTCTACCTTCTCCTCTCTCTTCCCATCTCATTTAATCTGCAAAACAATATTATGAGGTGGAATTTCACAGGTCCTGTTACAGCTGAGAATCCCGACCCCTCATTTCCTTCCCTACGAAGCTGTGATGGTTGTGTTTACCTCACGTGTTGCTGTGAATCTTCACGGGGTCGACAGGCAGAGGCTTGGGAACCATCCTTATGGTGGGTGTGCATGGCATCTGGTGCAAACTCTGAGTTATCCAGACTTCTCTGCCTATGTGGCCAGGGCAGGACTGCCCCTTCTTGGGATCCTGATGGGGTTCCCTTGTAGCCCAAAGTTCTGCATGAAGCAGAAGATTTAGGATTAGTCTGTTTAATAATGACTAGCCTGAGCCCAAAGAGGGCTCCTGGGGTAGGTTGGCTCCAGCAATTCCTTGTTTCCTCTGGAGCCCCTAGAACTCTGAGCAGCTGAGACAGCGTGAGAGTGCAGGTGAAGAGTGTTCTGACTTTGGCCGGCAGGGACCGAGGGGGCGGTGGTCGAGAGGGTAAGCGGGGAGCCAAGAGTCTAGGCTGGGCCAGGTAGCGGGAGCCTTGAGACCCCAAGGCCCCTTGGCCGGGTGCCGTGAGAGGATGTCACACGACCGCCTTCCCCAGCTGGCCTCCTCTGTCCCCACTGTGTCTGCAGGCTTCTGGCAGGGCCCCTGCCGTCCGTCTAGGTTGCCTTTCTCTTGGAGAGGAGGTGCCCCGAGCCCTCAGAGGGTTCCTAATCCAACCTGAGAGAGGCCTCGTCACCCTGGCCCCACGGCTCCCCCTCCTTGCCCATCACCTCCCCACCACACTCAGCCCTGCCCTCCTCCTCTTCCCGGAAGCCCTCCAGGGAGGCTTCACTGTGTGCAAGGAGGTGCGTGCAGGAGTCACAGAGGGCTGGAAGTTCCACAGACGTCACACTCCTCCCTCCCATCCTGCTGCTCCCACTCTGGGAGGCCTGGCTTGCGGCATTTGGAGGTGGGGTCATGGTCAACGAGGGCGTTGTGGGCACTGGGCTCCGATGTGGACCAGATGTGGGAGGGCAGAGCAGGAGCTCAGGCTGGCTCGGCTATTCCAGGAGAGTCTGCCTTCCTGGAGGAAAAAGCATCACTCAAAGGCATCTGGCAGCCTCTGAAAGTCTTCAGGACGCCCTTCTCTGCCTGGCAACATGGGCTCTGCACCTTCTGTTCCAGCCTGTGGCCAGGAAGGCCTCCAAAGAGAGGGCAGTTTCAGAAACGCACGCTCCGAGGCTGCCTTGGTGGCACTTTCCAAAGCGAAGGCTGAGCCCCGGGGGTGGGGTGGTGGGGTGATGGTGGGGGAAGGTGGGGAGCTTGGGGGGCTGGGGGCCGGGGCAGACCACCGAGGACTCTGCACCTCACCACGTTGCGTTGCTCAGTCCCCTGGGCCACCCAGGAGGTGAGCAGGTGGGCTCCGTCACTGGGAGACGTCACTGGGAGGGATGGGGTGCAGGTGGAGGGAAGCGTTTGCTTTACTTGCGGGCTTAGCGTCTCCTTCCCAGACGTCGGAGCTGACTGGCGGCATGGGGCTCATGGAGCCTACGTCCTGGCGCCGTGGGAGATTTAATCAGCTTGGTAACCTCTTCCCCAAGGAGGAATTGGGCCTGAGATTCTCCAGCAGGAAGGGGAACCCCAGCTCTCCCAGGCGTGTCTCTGTCCCCGCATCTCAGACAGGCACCCAGCATCAGTGTCCCGGGTCCCCAGAGCCGGACCCTCTGCGGTGTTCTATGAATTAACAGAGGCGCGGCTGCGGACCATTGGCCTCATGGGCGATGCAGGGGTCCCTTTGGAGGCTTCGCTGCTTTAAGCCAGGAGTCACGTCCGGAGCAACCAGGAATGAGCTCAGCAAAGGTTCATCCTTAGGAAGGAGTGAATGAAGGTGAACCCACTGGCTTAGTGAAAACAGCCCGACAGCCACCCTCAACCCCCAACCTGGCCCGGGCCCCGCGGGTGGGCGGTACCGTCCGCACTCCTGTGTGTTTCTCAAGTGCCCCGCGGTCCAGTCCCAGCCCATTCCACAGTGGGCACTAGAGGCTTCGGCAGGACCGTCCAGGCCAGGTAGCCTGATGCCCGGAGCACTCGGGGCAGCACCCCTGTATCAGGCTGGCATCGCCTGCCCCTTTTGCTGGGGAGAGGAGTGCAGATATCTCAGACTGTCCGGGATGATAGGAGGTGCCTCCTCAGTCCCCGGGGAGCCAGACGCGCACACACCTTCCTTCCACCACCCGGAGCGCCTCGGAAAGCCCAGCAGACTGGGTGGCCGTGTACGTCCACAGCTCCCACGCCAGGTGGTCTGTGCGCCGCCTGGACCCGCTTGAACCCGAGCTGCGCGGCTGCCGCTGTGAGCAGGTGAGGCACCCCGTTCTGCACCGTTGGAGGGATGGGCGGTAGGCAGTAATCCGTGTAACCTAGTGGAAGAGCATCCGGAAAGTCGGCTTGGAAATCTTTCTCACGTTGCTTTCACGGTGTCTGGAGCCCTCTCGGGGCACATGCCTTGCCTTCACATCTTTCTTTTAAAGGAGTGGGGGTTCCTGGCTCTTAGGTTCCATAAATGGTTGCTGTTCCACACATTTTATGTCTCATCTCCTCTAAGAAGAGTTTGAAATCTCCCACTCCTGTAGGTTAAGGAGTACCAACTCACACCTCTTTTCTACCTCTTTTTTGGTCATAAAAGAAAGTGAAGTCGCTCAGTCATGTCGGACTCTTTTCGACCCTATGGACTGTAGCCCACCAGGCTCCTCCGTCCATGGGGTTTTCCAGGCAAAAGTACTGGAGTGGGTTGCCATTTCCTTCTCCAGGGGATCTTCCCAACCCAGTGATGGAACCCGGGTCTCCAGCAATTGTAGGCAGATGCTTTATCCTCTGAGCCACCAGGGAACTCACTTTGTAGGTGTTCACTACATTTTCATTCATTATTTAAAAAACTGTCTAATGTGAGGTGGGCATAGAGGGTTAACCAATGTTATCTGAGCTGATACTCCTCAGGTAGATACATGATACACTGTCAAATGCTCAGATCTGAAGTGTGATTTCTGAGAGCACATGTGTTGCAGGTCAGCAGGAACAATACCTTGTTTGTGGTCAACCCCACTGATAGGTTTTGCCGAATAATTGTAACCCACACGTGTGAGTACATAAAACATGAAATCTCAAAGGTCCAGCAAGGCAAATATTTAGCAGGTGGCTGCGTTTTAACACAACTAGAAGAAAGACAGGAGGCAATTACAGAAGAAAAGTGACAAATAGAGAATGATCATGCAGAGAGCCCTCAGCATGGAGAATATGGTTGTACCCACCTAAACTGAGGAATGTCTGCCAGCCCCTAGCCACACTCCAGAGGGTTTAGCAAGCTTGCGGCATTTTGCTGAGTGTGTTTGACTTGGAGAGGATTCCACCTCCACCAGTTCTTGCAATTAATGAATTTGTTCAGTAGAAAGACCCTGAGCAAAAGAAAGTTTATGAAGTCTCTGTAGTTGAGGCTGAGAGATGTTTGTGCATTAAAGACTGAAACGTGGGAATTTGTAGGTAAGGAACTGCTCTCTCTGCAGTTAACTTAGCTGTTCTGAAGCTTCCAGGGTCTGAGGAAACTGACATGGCCGCAGGATGGAGCAGAGTCAGGATGTGGAGCTGGGTAGACGATCTCGACATTGAGCAAGACCAGGCCAGAGGAGACAGTGTGCAAATCACACCATGGATACATCTGTGTGTGTTGTGCGATTTGTGGTATGCCTCCTTGCTTCATTCTTTTTTTCATACCTTGGCATGGATCCACGAAACGTCAATAGAGGTTACTTCAAACCTTGCCTGCTGTGAGCTATCAGTCAATTTGGTTTCTTCTTTACAAACTAACCTTGTTCATCCTCAACTTTTTTTTTTTCTTTTTGGTTGGGAGCATCTGCAGAAGGTCTCTGCCTGGAGATGGTGTGCTAACCTATCTCTAGCAGAGACCAGCAAGGCACACAGGTTTGATCACGGCAACAAGGCAAGGCTTTAGGGAGGATCATTGACAGCAGTGACGTAAAAGAAGCTCCTAACACAGGTGACTGCTCTGCACCTCGTCTGTAGGATGTGATGTTGTTTGTGGTGACTTATTTAAAAAGGGGCTAGAGAATGGAGATTTGTGTTTTAGCTCATGAATGGAGGGTGAAGCCCTGGAATTTTGTTGTTGTTCTTATTTTCTATTTTGGAATGACTTTTTACTTATAGAAAAAATTTTCAACTATCCCTCACCCAGATCACCCAAATGCGAACACTTTTTCACATTTCCTATTGTTCTCCATCTCCCCGCTTCCTCTGTCTGTCATCTCTATCTTTACCTGTATCTCCAGCTACATCATATTCTGTCTCTTTCTAGCTATACACATATACATTTCCATGGCAAACAGCTAGTTTTAATTAGGTTGTTTATTGACTGAGGAAGAATGTTAGGTGGCATGGATGGCATTGGGGGGAATAGCTGATGAAAATCATGGGGTATGAATGCCCCTCAAAATTTGCTTTGCTTTGTTATTTACAACTATGTGTCTTTCTTGAGAGGAGTTATCTGACTTATTGATTGCCATGGATTTTAAAATTTCTCAGTTAAAGCATGTTTGTTTGCATTGGAAGGGAAATACTGTGGTCGTTTGTAGGGCTGAGGGCTGTTGGTTCTTTTGGAGATATGTAAAAAGGGAGGAATGTAGGGATTTTGTTTGGGGTTTTTCTTTAATAAGTTCAATCTTGCGGGTTTTACATCCTTTGAGGCTTTTCTGAGAGTGGAGGGAAGCTGAGCATGTGTGGAATGGCAGGGTTTACAATGCAGGGTCCCCTCCTTTACATCACAGCCAGTCCTGGTTAGAGAATCATAAACATAAAAACAAAGTTGAGACACAATGGCTTTCTGAATATATTTCTGTATTGAGTGTGAAACTTAATTACTTTTAGCCTGGCACTTTAAGCCTCAACAAAGAGGGCTCGGGTAATGTGATTATTATGATTTTAAACATGAAAAGCCGTCTTTCTAAGTGGTATTTACTCTTCTGTGTGCTTTGGAGGCTCTCCCAGTCAATGTCAGCATGATGAATCACTTATTTAACTTTGCTTCTTAAAGTCTCTTTTAGTTTAATGCAACTGGACCTTTCTTTCTTTCTTTTTTTAGAATGAAGAGTCATCTGAATTCCTACAGGAACAAGACCACTTTTGATTTTTTAGGATGGAAATCATAAAAAGTGAGAATGGATTCAAAAGCCATTTATAGGATGAATTGCTTTTATAAAGATACAGGGGCATGAGAGAAGGGAGCCAAGGGAAAGTGGGCATGATACCACTGATGAGGGACTAAGAGGACAGAAGAGGGTGAGGCCCAGGAGAGGGATACAAGTTGACTGGAGAAGCTGAATGTTTCTTCTTTGCTAGCCTTTTGCCCAATATTGAACAAATTATTGCATTTAGTGCTCGGGGTTATCACAGTCTCACAATACCATGGACCAGTGCAGTATCAAGGACTATTACTTGATACTGCATAGAAATGATGTGAAGGTTATAGTGTTGCTTGAAAGTGTCACAAGATATTCTTCGTTTTTTAGTGATAGTGATGGAGTAATTTAGGTCAATCATCTCACTGAAAATAACCACCAAATAATTGTTGTTCTCCAGTTGCTAAATCGTGTCTGACTCTTTCCGACCTCATGGACTGCAGCACACCAGGCTCCTCTGCCCTTCACTATGTCCCAGAGTTTGCTCAAATTCATGCTCATTGAATCAGTTCTCCTCCTGCCCTCAATCTTTCCCAGCATCAGGGTCTTTTCCAGTGAGTCGGCTCTTCACATCAGGTGGCCAAAGTAGTGGAGCTTCAACTTCAGCATCAGTCCTTCCAAAGAATATTCAGAGTTGACTGCCTTGAGGATTGACTGGTTTGATCTCCTTGCAGTCCAAGGGACTCTCAAGAGTCTTTTCCAGCACCTCAATTTGAAAGCATCAGTTCTTTGGTGCTCAGCCTTCTTTCTTGTCTAACTTTCACATCCATACATGACTACTGGAAAAACCATAGCTTTGACTATACAGACCTTTGTCAGCAAACATTAAAAAGAGTTCTTTAATAGGATCAAGGGGCTATAAAAGTAGTGAGGAATCACTGGCTCCAGATCCAGAGGAAGATGAAAATTCATAGAAGTGAGGTTGGCATTTGGGACTACTTTTGACCAAAGGGCAATTGGGAATCTGAAATACATGTCTAGGAGAGTGAGCAATATGCTTCTAGTCCTGTAAGATCAGGGGAGCATGAAATTTGAGCCCAGGGCTCAAATAGGGATAAAACTTCCTATGCCTTGGTCTCAGTTTGAGTGGAGTTGCTTCTCCTAGAAATAAGGGTGAAATGGAAGTGAAACAGTTCTTCCATGAAAAGTTGCCCATTTATAGGTCATCTGGGTGACCAAGAAAATTTTATTGCCTGAAGTAGGACTAAATGATAATTGATTGATTTAATTGTGCCCCAGGACTAGGCAAAAGCAAATGAAAACTGTATCTAAAGAAAAATAGCATTATCTGAGGCTTCAAAATATTTCTATAAATTAAAAAAATACAATGTCAAGCACATAGTTGAAATCAGCAATAACAAAACAAAAAGCTAGGCATATGGTACACATTCACCTATGAAAGAATCAGTGAAAATAAGAAATAACACACACACACACTCATAAGAATATCAGGTATGGGAACTAATACCAAGAGACTACATAGCAACTATATTTACTACTTTCAAGAAGAGAAAGGGAAGCTTGAAAAATCTGGTGAAAATGTTAGTCCTTCAGTCATGTCTGACTCTTTGTGATCTCATGGACTGTAGCCCACTAGGCTCCTCTGTCCATGCAATTCTCCAGGCAAGAATACTGGAGTGGGTTGCCATTTCCTTCTCCAGGGGATATTCCCCACTCAGGGGAAAATTTGATAGGTTATTGAAAACTATAAAAAGTGGCAAAGCAGTCTTAAATAAGAACAAAATAAATGCTAGAACTTGAAAATCTGACTGAATTAAAAATTCAGTGTAATAATGGGTACATCAGGTTGGCAGCACATGATCCTGTGTGATCATGTCATCACTAAAAAGGCAATATCCAGATGTTATGTGTTTTCTGGTGTGATCATTACAAAATGCACAGCATCACCTATGACATATTCTTGCAAAAGAAAAAGTAAGCCTGAACTTAACCAAACATCTCTAGATTTAGCTATCATTTGACAGGAAACATGGGCTTCCCTAATAGCTCACTTGGTAAAGAATCTGCCTGTAATATGGGAGACCTGGCTTCGATCCCTGAGTTGGGAAAGTCCCCTGGAGAAGAGAAAGGCTACCCACTCCACTATTCTGGCCTGGAGAATTCCATGGACTGTATAGTCCATGGGGTCACAAAGAGTCGACATGAAAGTGACT